TGGAGAGTCATGATCGCTCACTTACTGATGGAACACGGGGCACAGAAGAAGTAGAAGAAGAAGAAGAAGAAGAAGAAGAAGAAGAAGAAGAAGAAGAAGGATTGAGGAATAGAAGAAAGAGAAGAAATAATGAAGAAAAATAAAAAAGAAGAAGAAAGGATAGCGAAATAAAAAAAAGTAGCAACAGCAACAGAAGAAGAAGAAGGTCACGAATTTCGTCCCTATTCCACCAAATAAAAAAAATTATTCATTTTAATAGAAATTAATAGGATGTTTCTCATTTTAATAGAAATTAATAGGATATTTCTCATTCTAATAGAAATTAATAGGATATTTCTCATTTTAATAGAAATTAATAGGATATTTCTCATTCTAATAGAAATTAATAGGATATTTCTCATTTTAATAGAAATTAATAGGCTATTTCAACAGATATTTTTCATAGATGACTTTCGACTAAACATTCAAAACGTACCATTTTCAAAAGGTATTTTCTTTTTCTTTTACATTTTAAAAAGTCATTTCACACAACCATATTTGCTTTCACTTCCGTCTGAGACCCGTAGACGAATTGGTATGGCCAAGAACTCATTCCAAAAGCTGGGCAGAGAATTGCAAGACAGGAGAATTCCTTTGGTGACAAAGAAAAAAAACACTGAGCTGTTACGTGACATCAGAATGATGCTAAGGATATCATGAACCGGGCGTGTGAGCAATGATGAAGTCTTAAAGAGGATGCAAAGAAGGAAGAGGCTTATACTTAACACCAGGAAGAGGCAGCTGAATTATCTGGGTCATATAGTAAGGAAGGAGGACCTGGAGAATCTGATACTCACGGGTCGAATAGAAGGAAAGAGACAAGGGAAAACAACGCGTGACATATTTAGCGAGCTTAAGAAAGTGGATGACGGAACGTAGCCTGGGGCAGGTGGCAGATGGAAGGAACTTGTTAGGATCTGCAAGGGATAGAGGGAGGTGGAGAGCCGTGATCGCCTACGTCCTTAAAGGACATGGCACATAAAAAGAAAAAAAAGGGGGGGTAAATTCCAATGAATTTCCATCGCAAACTTATCCAAATTATTAACTTCTATAAAATTTAATATATTTTTATACAGTGTGAATGGATATAAGAGACCCGGATATAAGAGAAACCCGGATATAAGAGAGATTTTCTCTGGTCCCAAATTAGAGCCCATACTTACCTAAACAAAATAGACCAAACCCAGATATAAGAGAAACGCGGATATAAGAGAAACGCGGATATAAGAGAAACGCGGATATAAGAGAAACCCTGATATACGAAACTTCTTCTCCGGTCCCGACAACTCTCTTATATCCGGGTTACACGGTATTCGTGATCTGGAGTCTTTAAACTATGGGTATATAGAAAAAAAATTGAAAAAAATAGTTATTTCCGGATACAGTGCCTACTGCAAAATTTTACCGAAATATTGAACATATTGAATTCGAAGAACGATTCCTAAGAACTATTAAAGGAATGGTTTCCTGTTGTTTCTTCACGGTTTCGAATTCATAACTGTTTTTTCTCTTACACCAGATACCATCCCAACTAACTCTGCTATTTAACCAATAAATGGGAAAAAATATAGATTCAGCCGTCTCCAAGGGCTATAGTGCGAAAGTGGAAGTAAAAGATTCTGTCAGAAATAGAATTGCTTATTTTACTTTCTGCGCTGATAACCTTTAAGCTAACCGCACATCCTAACATAAACTGGAAAAAAAAAAAAAACAAAAAAAAAAAACAAGCATATAAATAAAAACGTGTAATACATTTTCATTCCTTTTGTTCTTGACTGATCTCCGACTAAATAAGGAGGCAAGATCTCAGACGTGCAGAATTCGTCAACGCTTGCAAATAAAACATTTCGAACGTTTAATAATATTTGGCTGCCGAAGAAACTCTAAAAATAAATTCTTAATCCCGTATCAATTTGCCGAGAAACAATCAAATATAAAATTGAATCGTACCTTTTTCCTTTCCTTTTCTTCCCTCTCTTCATTTTTTTTCTTTTCTTTCTTTCTTTCTTTTTTTCTTTTTTCACCCAGCCTCGAACGTATCCTGCAGAGACGTGAATCATTTATTCTCCATAATTTGAAATGCTTTTTTGTGTAGGGTTGAGGAAAGAGAGGGGAATTTTGTCCTTCGTTTCTCTGATAATAAGATCAGCCGTGACCTAAATAGCTACGGATTCCATAGGTTGTCTGCCAATCATAGTTTAATTCAGTGAAATGAGGCAGATAATAAAAAGATGATAAAAATAATAACTATATCAAGGCCAAGATAGACAAGGCAAAGCAGAATATTAAATACAGTTAATGCGGAGACAGAGATGAAACTGTCAATCATATAATAAGCGAATGCGGTGAATTAACTCTGAAAGAACATTAAAGTAGATATGGCTGGGCAGGAAACTATTGGGATCTATTGGGAATTGTGCAAGTGACTAAAACTGAACTCTAAAAGTGAACACAAACCAGAATCTGTCCTAGCGTAATAAATGATTAAACAAATAACATATTGAATTCAAACGAATCATCCATACTCAGCCGGAAGAACACGTCCTCTTGTTAATTGGATTTACGAATTGTCACTCGTTACTGGGGTAATTATTTTCAAACTTTTTATGGGGCACACAGTGAGGCACTCAGTGAGGATCAAACCTGGCCAGGCATTAAAACGGATTCAGTTTCTCTCTTTAGATGTCCTCTGCACAGCCATTATATACTTTAATTTGCAATCTCGTTACTCATTCTCAACTGCTTATTATTATTATTATTATTATTATATTTTTTTAATTCCGTTGATTTCTGGTGTGTACACATTTCTTTCCGGGTCCTGCCCAGAGACCTAAGGTTAGAAATGGCGTCATGGCATTTTCCATTGACTAAGTACCCCTCCGCCCCCCCCAAAACAAAACCCCACAAACATATTTTACATGGATAAAGCCCTTCATAAGGTGTGGGCTGTACTCGTGAGAACAATTTTATGCATTTCTTCTTCTTCTTCTTCTTCTTATAATAATAATAATAATAATAATTAAGAAGATCAAACTCACCACTCTGTAGTAATTGTCAAACAGATTATTCTCGCTTAACCTTACCAAATTTCTTTTCAATGCCACGCCACTTCGGGATGTAGGCGATGATGACTATCATCACATTCCTTTACTTTATTATATCTTTGGCGTTTTTAAAAATAATTTCACCACAAGCAAGGCAATAAAGCCACTAAGACACAAGTGGCTTACGGTGTGGAAGAGAATATGATAAAACAATAAACATTGTTAAGAAGAGAGAACAATAAAAAAAGAACAGGAATTAAGAAGACAGAAGACAAAGAGTAATCAAACCTGACCGGAAAGCAAGAAGCTGGTAGAGAGTTCCAGAGGCAAGAAGTGTGAGAGAAGAAACTATTAGCATAAAACTTACGGTTATATCTAGCAATTTCAACTGTAAAATTTTAAGACCTTACCGCCAATCTAGTACTGCGCTTGAATTCATAAAGTCTAGGTAATAGAGGAAAGTTCATCAGAATACTTGGTGTCTCTTGATCTCCGATTAATAATCAAATTAATAATGATATGGAAACACAATGATTAACTAATTAATTCGTTTTCCACGGCTTATCAGCCCATAAGCCATAAAATATTTTTAAATTGTAATAATTTTTTTTTAGATTATAATGGTTTTTGTGATAGAAATCTTACTAATTAACCCATAGCTGGTGGGAGAAGAAGTGGATTCATACCTTTCCCCAAGGGGATATTTAGCGTAAATGAAGATGACTCTGTGGTTAAAATTTCCGAGCCATTGTCCATCACACCACCCGCAAAATCAAGTTTACAGCAGCGGATATTAACACGCGGTCACTTATTTAGGTATTGACCTGGATCGACATTGCTTAACTTCGGTGATCGTACGGGAACTAGTGTTTGAACGTGTCTTGATCTCTAATTAATAAAGGTGTGGAAATACAATGAATAATAATAATAATAATAATAATAATAATAATAATAATAATAATAATAATAATAAGAAGAAGAAGAAGAAGAAGAAGAAAAGTGCTATAAATTAAATGACAATTCTTCTATAGGACCATAGTTTGGACCCGGCTCTACAGGATACAAAGCAGGAAAAATAACACACAAACAACAACAGCAACAGCAACAACAACAATAATAATAATAATAATAATAATAATAATAAAGTGTCACTATGCAAGGATCTTGAAGAGAAAATATAAAAAATGTGACACATGAGGACATCAATAATTCCATTTATAGTTGGAGCCCGCGGATTGATTGAAAAAGGCCCCGATTAACTCGTTGAAAGAAATTCCTGGTATCCAATGTCAAAAAGAAATACGAAAAATTGTACAGCTCGCTTGTAACTTTTTTTCTTTACAAAAATGATCAGTGGAAAATGCCATAAAGTCATTTCTGAACTTCGGTCGCTGGTTGGGACCCAGAAGGAAATGCGTATACAACATAAATTAATAATAATAATAATAATAATAATAATAATAATAATAATAATAAGAAGAAGAAGAAGAAGAAGAAGATGAAGATTCAAAGAACTACGATTCTCCAACGGTGGTCATCAGTTTTGAAACGATAGTAGCAGACATGCTGCCACTCAATCTTCAGTATTAACCAATATACATCTGGTATGATCACGGAAATTCAAAAATAAAATAATAATAATAATAATAATGGAGTAGGAAATAGTTTAAAATAAATAAATCAAAACCAAATGCAATCTAAAAAGAAATAAAGCAATTTTCAAGGCTTCAAAATGCGTGCATGATGTTTCTTCATCTCCCTAAAACTAAAAATACAACGAACGAGATGAAGAGAGAGAGAGAGAGAGAGGGAGAGCGAGAGGGTGGGGAGGAAGAGATAGAGAGGGGGAGAGAGATAGAGAGAGAGAAAATGAATTAAATGGAAACAACACAGTCCAAAACTGGAGTCGCAATAGCAATGGCTCCGTGTTCCGCCGCCATGATTTTTTTTGCATTCTCTCCTGATTTTTGTTTTTTCTAATTTTCTAAAAATTTTCTTTATTGTTCTTTTAATTTTTCCTATTCTTTTTCTTCTCTCCAGCCATCTTTTCCCATTCGTAGCTTATTTTTTTAGTCAATTTTTCTCCATTTTCCTTCCTATTATCTCTCGCTTACAACCATTTCTTCTTATCGACCCAAACACCAAATATTTTCGGGTTTAATTTTCAGTCCTCCACATTTTTCTTTTATTCTAACATTTTTCTTCATATCTTTCTTTTACTTTCCATTCCTTCTTCTCATATTCCACCAACCTTCTTCTTCTTCTTCTTCTTCTTCTTCTTCTTCTTCTTCTTCTTCTTTCTTCTATTCCTCCATCCTTTCTTCTTCTTCTTCTTCTTTTTTATTTTTCTTCATTATTTATTCTCTTTCTTCTATTCCTCCATCCTTTCTTCTTCTTCTTTTTATTTTTCTTCATTATTTATTCTCTTTCTTCTATTCCTCCATCCTTTCTTCTTCTTCTTCTTCTTCTTCTTCTTCCTTTTTATTTTTCTTCATTATTTATTCTCTTTCTTCTATTCCTCCATCCTTTCTTCTTCTTCTTCTTCTTCTTCCTTTTTATTTTTCTTCATTATTTATTCTCTTTCTTCTATATTCCATCCATTTTCTTCTTCTTCTTCTTCTTTTTTTATTTTTCTTCATTATTTATTTTCTTTCTTCTATTCCTCCATCCTTTCTTTCTTCTTCTTCTTCTTCTTCCTTTTTTATTTTTCTTCATTATTATTTCTCTTTCTTCTATTCCTCCATCTTTTCTTTTCTTCTTCTTCTTCTTCTTCTTCTTCTTCTTCTTCCTTTTTATTTTTCTTCATTATTTATTCTCTTTCTTCTATTCCTCCATCCTTTCTTCTTCTTCTTCTTCTTCTTCTTCTTCTTCTTCTTCTTCCTTTTTATTTTTCTTCATTATTTATTCTCTTTCTTCTATTCCTCCATCCTTTCTTCTTCTTCTTCTTCTTCTTCTTCTTCTTCTTCTTCTTCTATTCCCCATCCTTTCTTGGCCGTGATAATTTGGTCTCTCCCACTGGCTTCCATGTCTATTATTATTATTATTATTATTATCATTGTATTTCTTTCTTTATATTGTATGTCTGGTGGTTGGATGCTGAGTGACAGCAAACCACCTCACCTCTTAAATACCTTCTCAGCATTTTCCCCAACCAGACCAACATTCTAACCAAGACAATCTCCGTTTTTCTACAAACCATTATCATTTCAAATTATCGAATCTTCACACAAACAGTAACTGACGATTTTCATTGATAATCAAGTGACAGCAAGTCTGACTACAGACACCAGGTTTCTATTTAGTATTATTAACTATTTTCAATAATGCTCTTGTTTGGTTGTCACTAAGACTTCTGATTTTCCGTTCTTGCAACCATTATGCTAGGCTCTTAGGAATCATTGCAAGTATTCCAAAAATAATAGGCAAACCTTCAGGTTACACTTAATTTTTTAATCAATTCTCTAAGTTTGGATGTTTGTCCAGCTTTTCATTTTCATTCAGTTTTACTGCGACCTCCTGTAAAATCAGGATTTATTGACAGGTTTCTTTTTTTTTCTCTTTGTCTACGATAACCAGTTTTCTTTCTGCTCCATCCATTCCAATCAACAGAAAAAAATGTCATGAACTTATTCTCTAAAGCTTTATTCTCTAAGATTTGCTTTCGTGGTCAGATTCTAGTGATTTGTAAAGTTCTCAGTAGATAAATGTTCACACCCAATCAGTGTTACTTTTTTGTATTATAACAGTGTTAACTAATTGCTCTCGTTTATATGAATTACGGTCGAATTACTGTCTCCATATAATCTTTATTTGCTATTTAATGTGGATTATAATGGTGTTTATAGAATTGGTCTATGTGACGTTGTTCTGAGTCGGCATTAATAATGTTTCTCTCTTCAGATGTCCTCTGCACAACCATTACATAGTATAATTTGAAATCTCTCAATTTTTACCTAATTCTCTCACACGTTTATATATGTTCATGTAACGTTTCTTTTTCTGGGTTGGCATTAAGGTTTATGTTTCTGTGTTCGGATTTCCTCTTCACGGCTCTTCTGTACTATACGAAAATAACAAAGACATTTATATAATTGTCTTAAACATTTATATATGCTCATGTGATAGTCTGCTGGGCCGGCATTAGTAAGTATTTACTCCCCCCCCCGACTCTCTCTCTCTCTCTCGCTCTCTTTCTTTAGATGTCCTTTTCACTGCCATTATATGTTTTAATTAGCAATTCCTTTATTTTTCTTCTGATCGGGTCATACTGCTGCTCATCATCATTATCATTATTATTATTATTATTATTATTTCTTTTCATTTTTGTTCCATACACATTTCCTTCCGGGTCCCAACCAGAGACCTAAGGTCACTGAATGGCTTCATGACATTTTTCACTGATCATTTTTTTTTGTATATAATAAAGAACACCCTAAGATCACATACATTTTTCATAGATAAAACTCTTCGTAATGTGTGAGCTGAACACCTGAGTACAATTTTTTGTATTTATTTAAGGCATGGGCTACCAGGAATCCCTTCAATGAATCTATTATTATTATTATTATTGTAAAAAAACAAACTAAGCTCACATACATTTACCAGAATAAAGCTCTTCGTTATATCTGAGTTGTATTCATAAATACAATTTGTTGTATTTCTTTAAGGTAGATAATACCAGGAATCTATTCAATGAGTCTATCAAAACTTTTTTCAGTCAATCTTAGGGCTTCAACTACAACTGGAATTATTGATATCTTCACGTGCCACATTTTTTAGGTTTCCCCTACAAGATCCCTATATTTTGATAGTTTTTTTTTTGAAGATCTTCAAAGATACGTTGCAATCTGCAGGGACTAAGAAAACACATTATGTTCTTGTGACCTTATGTTCTTGATGTCTGGGCGATTAGCTTTAATTATTCTGTTTGTATGTATTGTAAAGTCCCATAAGATTTTTACAGGTCCTGTCTCTGTAACCCGGTCTGGCTGTCGTTCATACAAGTTTCCTTCCTGTAAAATCTGATATTTCCCAGTGTAGATATTGGCTCACTCAATCATGCCTAGTTTTATATTCAGCGGGTGCTAACACAGTGCATCCTGATACAAGATGATCAATTACTTGTGGATATTTATCATAGAATCTGCATTTTGGATTAACACAATGTTTGAGTATGTGTGTTTGGTAAATTCTACTTATCCAGCATTGGCCCTGTGCAGCAATGCTGGCCATGTTCACCATAGTCTATGAATATAGAATACAGCGCAGTACATAATCTGTTCAATGAAACAACGTTAAAGATTAATACTCACGAGTCAGACACTCCACTGAATCTGACTATATCACCAATACCACCAGCAGCTGTTCCGTAATTCTTCAGTCTTCGATATCAAAGGCTGGCAGTGATATTTAGCCACCCGCCCCCACGAGGATTACATGTGGCACAAGGCCTGGATTAACGTGGGATCTCCGAGCCCGTAGGCTCGGCCAAAAATATTCCTTATTCGAACGCGTATAAACGGGTCCAGGGGCAGTCAACCTCCCTGAACGAGACTCTGCCCTTCGGCGGAGCCTCGTCCGGGTTATCAAAGGCTGGCAGTGAATATTCGGGAAAAACATGGCCGCCTTTATACACGTCGCATTGAATATTTTGAGCCTTCTGATTGGTTAACCCTTCTATTGGTGAACTATAAAAATGAGTCAGCTCATTTTGGCTGGCTCACTAGTACACCAGGGTAACCAAACATTCCAACAAGAAAATACTACTAAAACCTTCAGTTTCAGCTTTTAACCCTTGACTATGTAACCACTGATGGGTACAGCGTTTGTCTACATCAGTTAGTTTGATACGAAGAGACTTAACTTGCCACCATTTTTGCATTTGGTATATTGCACTTGATTTTGCTTTATTCTTTAGTGTTTTTTGTTTTTTTGCCACAGCTGTAGGTGTTTTATGGTTTATTTGCACTTCTTCGGACCCTTGCAATTCCTTTTTCTGAATTTGTTCGCTTTCTTTATTATTGAATAAATTTTCTTATTTCTTTCATGTTCTTTGACGCAGATTATCATCCAGTCTCCTGTAGTTTCCAGGTATCTTTGAAGATTAATTGCTGTAGTTTTGTAAGACAGTTCTAGTTGAACTAATCCTCTGCCTCCTTCGGATCTGCGCACATACAGACGATAGCATCGGCCTTAGGATGAGGCATGTGGTGGCAAGTGAGGAGCTTTCTCGTTTCGACATTCGTTCGCTGAATGTCAGTTATGGTCCAATTATGCTGAAACTTTATTGCACCACAGGGGCAGCCAAAGTGTTTATGGCTGATATTCACTTTCGTGAATTTAACTCGGTATTTAACACCAGACGCACACGCCTGTGGTATCCTTTTCTTACTTCATTTGGGTATGCTGTATTCTATCTCCTTTGCTTAATCCTAAGTATTTATAGGCAAAATCTTCTTCCAGTTCCCTAATCTTCATCTATTGAATGTGTTTCTCTAATTCTCCCTTTTTTGAATGTTGCTTTTGCACATTTATCTAATCCGAAATCCATACTGATGTCATCACTGCAACATTTTATAGCAGTGAGGTTTCCCTTCAAGTCATTGTCGTCTTTGGCAAAGAGTTTGATATCATCCACGTAGAACAGGTGATTAAACACTTTCTTTTTTAATTTGTATTCATAGTTACTACTGTTTAGTTTATGCGAAAGGGAGATTAATGACAGACTGAACAGAAAGGACGACAGGGAATCTCCATGAAAGATTCCTCGTCGGATATTCAAATAACTGGAAGTGACAGTACCTTTGGTGTGATTTAGGTATAATGTGGTTTTCCACAGTTCCATGGTATATTTAAGGAAATTTACTATCAAAGAGAAGACTTTCTACATTTGTAAAGCCTTAAGGAACCAAGAATGTGGCACACTGTCAGACATTACGGTAATCTATCCAAGATGAGCTGAGATTCCTACATATTTTCCTGCAATTTTTCAGGGTCATTTTATTTATTTAATAGTTGATTTTTGTAACCATATGAACCTCCTCGACATTCCTTCTGTTCCTGTGAAAAAATGTTTTTTTTTTTCATCGGCAAAAGAGTAAATACAGTTCATCAGGACAGACGTTATCCATATATATGTGGTGGACAGACATGTTATTGGCCTATAATTTTTAGGATCATCCGTTTCATTCGTTTTTGGTAAGACTTATGTAATAGCTTCAGTGATTCATTCTGGAATTTCATTGGGACTATTAATAGGTCATTAAACACTTTCTTTTTTTACTTTGTATCCATAGTTATAAATGTATAGTTTATGCGAAAGGGAGATTAAAGACAGACTAAACAGAAGGGGCGACAGGGAATCTCCATGAAAGATTCCTCGTCGGATATTCAGACAATTGGAAGTGGCAGTAAATTTGGTGTGTTTAGGTGGTTCTCTACAAATCCATGTTATATTTTTCTGCTACTACTACTACTACTACTACTATAATAATAATAATAATAATAATAATAATAATAATAATAATAATAATAAGAAGAAGAAGAAGAAGAAGAAGAACAACAACAACAACAACAATGTGTTTAGGGACGCTCGACACACTGAATCTGTAAACCGAGTTCGAATTCGTGTAGATATTGTGCGCATTTTCTTTGCATGAAAACCCTAAGGCAAGTCATCACTCACTCCTATTATTAAATATCTAAAAAAAAAACTTGCTACTAGCATGCCACTGTGGCTGATGGAAAAGTGTGCAGTCAAATTTCTCCTGTTCTTAATATCGTGTAACCTAATTATATCCATTTTCTGTTACCTGGTTATGATACAGACACCACCAAATGATTCCAATTACTCTAACGAATGCACAGGATTCGTCTGGTTTTGCGACAACCTTGTCGATAATGAGACCAACCAATCATCCCGTTTTCACGGTTGTTTTGTCTCCTGCTTCCTCTATCTTTTCGTTCCTAATTTCCTTTGTCATCTTCCTCTCCTCTTCTTTATTCATTCTGCCTCCGCGAACGTCTCAGATTTTATCTGTGTCCTCCTCGAAATCCCCCCCTCCTGGTTCTTGGTTATTTTTTTATTTTTATCGTCGACATCATCTTTACTACTGCTCTTTCGCAGCCAACTTTAAATCTACTGTTTTCATCTCTTCCCTTTTGTCTTGTTTTTGTTTTACTTATCTTTTCCTGCTTTTCTCTTTTTCTATTATCCTTGTACGAATCTTGCCGAAATATCAACCACTAATTCCTCAGCAGCAGAAGCCTATCAGGCTGAGATATTATGATTTGCTCATCTCGTTGACTCCGATGTCAGCGGTAAGATCGGTCACGACATCGTCGTTGTCATCTTACACAACAGCGTTAAGATAGTCTACAAGAATCAAACCAACAGGCACCGCTAGCTACGGCGTCATTGTTGACAGAATCAGCTAAAGATGGCTAATATTTCATCAGCCTATTACTACCAATCGAGTGTAGCCCTTATAAAAACAACAGCCATGACGATGACAGCAACTGCAAAGCGGAAACACTCTCGTCTGCTTTCTACAGTTATGCATTGAGTTCCCTGGCTGAAGGCAGCCATATTTTCTTTTCGTTCACAACGCCCTCTGGTGGGGTCCAGAGTAAATACCTTTTGAGCGGGACTTCTCCGTTTCAAGTAGACGCTTGTAATAGACGTTTGAGATTCAGAATTCCGGGTCCTCCTTAGAAGTAGTTTGGCTTTTGATCAAATAACACGGCGGTTTATTGCATAAACAGTGGCTGAGATATCCCCTGGGATCTGGTTGAAACTGAATTAATATCGATCGGCCAGAGACTGCCTTTTCAATCTCAACTGTCTTCTCCTTACTCTTTTCATTGTTCGACCGACCGTTTGCTTCGTACTTCTTCGCATTCTTTACTTCTTCCGTATCTTCATCATTGTTGTTATCTTTATTTCAATTTCTCCTCTTCAACGAATACCCTCATTGGAATCATTGCCATCACCACCATAACTATTTGAGTAATTATCATGGTTTTTTTTTTATATTTCTTTTTTTTTTAATGGTTTTGTTGTCAGTTTCTTTCTTACTTTCTTTAATATTTCGTTTTGTTATTTAATCTTTTTTTTTAATTCTTTTAATCTTGATATATATATATTTTTTTTTTTTTTTTGAGAGGGGGACACATTCCTTCTTTCAGCTTTTAAAGCTTGATTTACATTGCTTCCATATTTTAATATTTGTTTCTCTTTCATAATTCTTTTATTTTAATGATTCATTTTAATAACATTTTTTCTCTTCACTTATTTCTTTCAATCTTTTTTCTTTCTTTCTTCCGTTTTAATCCGGCTACTTTATTTCTTTCTTTTACCTTTTTGTGCCCATTTTCTTTCTTTCTTTCTTTCTTTCTTTCTTTCTTTCTTTCTTTCTT